TCCACCAACTTAAAAAAAAAAATTCCTCATTAATTTCTACTTGGAGTTCCACCTTTGGGAGCAGCACTCGGAGTAGGGAGCTGGACGTGGTAGATTTCTTAGATTACCTCTGTGATGAATTTGGACCAACCCACATATCCAACGGTCATGCTCATATTAAAAGCAGTTCCTATTAAAGGATTAAATTCTCAGGTTTCTTTTGTAGGCTATCTGACAAGGGGAATGAGCTCTATAGCGGTTTGGTTCTCATAAAGGATGGCTGGGTTAGAAGCCAGGTGGCATAAGTCATCTTTTATCCTCCTTCCCCATAATTGGTTATATAATATTGGGCATGGAATTTACTACTTTAAAACTTCATGTTTCTTTCAGGTTCTAAAAGTCAGAATCTCTGTTTTATATAAAAAAAATATTCTTGTTCTCATCCCTAGAACTTTGAGTCCCCAATCAAACAAGCAGACACAAGATTGCACTGTTTTTTTCATAGTCTCTATTTAGGACCTTAATAACCCTGTCCCAAGAGTTTCCATTCTTGGGAGGAAATGGTTTTAATCTCGGAGATGTGTCTTTACTAAGTGGTCCTTTGAGAAAACACATAGTGCTGTCCTTCCTCCTCTGTTCTATTCTTAATTTATTTGTTTCTGTTCTTCAGTAAACCATAAAGTGGTTGAAAGTTGGTGTGTCATATGGTTTATGTTTGGTTACAAATGTTTTCCCTGTCCTGGGTTCCTTTTCTGTGCAAAGTGGTGGAGTCATGTGAACTGGAACTCATCAAGCCCTTTGCCGTCATTTGCAGCAATTTGCTAATAAAATTGCCGGCAGCTTTGGTGAACTTCAGGTTTGACTATGGAATAATATTAATAATAATAAAAGTGAGAGCCTTTGTAGCAGTGGAGAAGTTGCATGAGCAAATAAATGCGAAGTTTAGAGTGTAGCCAAGCTAGTTAATGAGCCTGGACTCCTGAGTTCTGTTTAGCTGGCACATACATTTAGGAAGGGACCATTATTCACATCTCAGAAATAATTGTCAGGTACTATATGTTGTAAAGCTGGGAGTTTTCTTGGACTGATATTTCTGTCAGTAGCCACAGGCTGACAGCTGGGTTTGATTGAGCTCTCCTTCTGTCTGAGCTTCATCCCCGCCCCCCCCCTTTTTGAAATGCAGTTTGATTCCGTATCTGGCAATTTCAGCTCTCAACTTCTTGGACTTTGTGACGTGGGTGAGGAATACCTTTTTTCATTTAGCAACATTGGGAATGAGTCCATTCTTCCAAATGGGTGAACTTTCTGTGCGACGGAAGTTAGTTGCCTCAGGGGCAGCTGCACTGTTTGGAAAAGGAGCCCAAGTGGTGCCGTATTTAAGTCCTGCGTTGCTAACAGAACGGTGAGCAGTTCAACGTTTCCAGTGGCTTTTCTTAAGAAAAGGCCTGGCAGTCTGCTGCTGTAAAGGTTACCACCTGGAATGGGACAGTGCGACTCTATCGACTGTTGGAATTGGAATGGAGTCGATGGCATACAGTAATAAGCCTCTTTATAGCTATATAGTCCTATAAGTTATATATAAGTTATATAGTCCTACTAAGTGCACTGTTATTTTTAGTTCTTGGTAGTGGCCAAGGTGCTGTGGTAGCTGGCAGATGATGTGTTGTGTTGACAACTAAAATATTAGCAGTTTGAATCAAATAGCTGCTTTGAGGGAAAAAAAGATGTACAGTTACTTCCTGTGAAGATTTACAGTCTAAGAAACTTGCTGGTGGGATGGCTAGCATTTGATTTACAGAAGAAGAACTTAAGACATGTCCCCTAAACCACACAGTAGGAGAGCTGGGATGTCAGCATGCACCATTCCAGAGTTCCTGTCTATTACTATTATTGTTCATGATAAAATACTGCTCTTCCAAAGCAGTAAAAGTTCTTCCAATTTACAATAGTTTGTATGGTTCTGAAAATATACCTGCCGTTAACATTGTTCAACACTGAGCCCTTTCTGAGGTTAGCGTTTCGTTCAGGCCATGCCTTGTGATGGAACTTCTAGTTTGGTAAATAGAAAAATCTGGTCTGAGTTTCAGACCCTCCTCAGGATTTCAGTATTTTTGACAGATGTGAGTAACCAATTTGTTTTTTGTTCCCAGGTAGTCTCCCAGATGGCCACACAGTCATTTATTTGGTGTGGGCAAATTCAGTTGTCCATTGTTGTTTAAGCCTTTGCATTGGATCTCACAGTGGACAGGATGACCAAATAGATATTAGAGTATCTGGGATGTTAGTAACAATAATGTTGTTGTTAAGTGCTGTCGAGTCGTAGGCGATTCATAACAATCCTATGAATGAAAGTCCTCAACACTTGTGTGACTTTCATCCTTTCTCCAGGTTCATAGGGTTTCTGGAGACAAGCTATTATGGAAGTGGATGCCACCCCTGCTTCCAAGCTTGTTTTAAGCTCCACCAAACACTGTAACAATAATAATAGCTAATTTACTAGGAGCCTCGGTAGTGCAGTGGAAAAGTGTTCAGCGGTTAATGGAAAAATTGGAGATTTCAGTTTACCAGCTGCCCCATGGGAGAAAGACGTGGTGGTCTGTGTCCGTCTGTGTCCATAAAGATGACTGTTTTTACATGCTAGGTAGGAGGAACTGACTCATAGCTGACCTCCAAACAGCTTTTCAGAGGCGATAAACTGCCTGGGAGGAGATTGCTCATTTCTCTCCCACGGAGCAGCTGGTGGATTGGAATTGCTTACCTTTGAGTTGACATTTTCGTTCCTTAGCACCCACCAGAGCCCCCATCCATGGAAAGCTCACGTCATGTGGCAGGTCTGTTCTCTGTTTTAGAGTAATTATGAGTTGGAATTAAGTCTTGAGTAAAATGAGCAATTGCTGAGTGCTATATGTTATTCTTTTTTTTTTTATTAAATTATCTCAGCAGCTCTGTGGAGTAGGTACAAGTGTTTCTCTTTTACTGATGAGGAGAAGGAAGATAGTTGAATAGATATTCTAATGGTCACATAAGTTATAAATAGCAAGCCAGGTTTGTCTGATTTTAGAACTTGTTTTCTTTGCTGCTACATGGTTTCTCATCTTAAGAGACAGATTTGAAATGCAAGCCTTTGTCAAACTCGGAATTATTTAATGTCTGTTTTAACTTAATCTAGGCTTCTCTTTCTCCTTTTCTCTTTAGTGTTACACATTTTCCCCTAGGTAATTGTTTTTCTTTATGGAATGACTTAGTTATCCTTGACTGTGAATGTATCACTTGGTTGTAGAGGATCACAACAAATTCTGGAAATTTCTACCTGTCTCTTTACTGACTGCTTGCTTCACAACTCTGGCTAGCCAAACTACCTTTTGAGAACTCACATTTCTCCACTGGCTTGCTCCTGTGGGTGGTGCTGATTCACTGAAAGATAGTGTACTATGGTTTTGAGCCAAGAGAATATGAATGATTCAGTAGAAATCATTATAAAATAGAATTTTTTTTTAACATGAAATCACTGTACAAGAGGATTATGATGTCAGTTCCCTCCTCTCTGTCCCCTCCCCAACACCCCAAGCATTACTTCTCCATCTAAAGCCATTTCCTAGTTTTCTAGGAGGAATTCCTTGTGCCTTCGTGGTAAAACACTGTGCTATCAATCCAAAAATATGTGGTGCATATACACCGGTTGCTCCATGGGGGAAGGATGAGCAGTCCCCTCCCATGCAGTGCCTCTGAAAACCCAGTGGAGGGTCAGCTATGGGTCAGTGCAGACCCAGCAGTACACAACAGTAACAGTTGTGGTCTACCAGTCGTTGATGTTGTTATTAGGTAGCATCGTCACAATCTCCGTCTTCCTCCTTTACACTGACACTCTACCAAGCATTAGATCCTTGCATAGGGATAGCCCCTTCTGATATTTTGCCCCGAATAGGTGTGTCTAAGTTCTCAAGCCATTCTTGCTTCTGATGGCTTTTGTTACATAAAGAAAAATTACATATATATATATATACACACACACATTTTAAAAAATGCTTTATTGTAGGGGAACAAAAGAGAACTTGGCTGACTTAATTTTATTTTGAATAGTCCCATTTAAAAAGTAGCAGTTGTTATAAAAAGAAAACATTTTCATAAAGTCAGAATTTCTCGGAGATGGTAGGGGAGATTGATCATAAACTTATTTTTACTATCCAGATGGAGTTGTATCTGTTGATGTTGAAACTGAAGGTGTTTTGTTTTTGTTTTTTTTTTAATAAATTGTTTTCTTTGTAATTTAATCTTTCCCATCTCGGTGGGAATCCCCTCTTGGACACACACACACACACACACACACACACACTCACTCTCTCTCTCTCAAATGACTAATTAGCAGATAGCAGATACAATCAAATGAAACCTATGGAACTTGACGGGGCTGCCTTGTTTTTCCAAGTATTGCAAGTGTTCTGCCTTTGATAGCATCCAACCTTTGCACTTTCTATTTATCATCTCTATTGGTGGAAAATATTTGAATAAGCATTTTCTGACACATTTCTGACTTACACACTTCTGGCTTTCTCAGGCTTCACTGTACCTGGTACTGTTTGATGAACCTTTTGCCAATTAGCTTAAAGAGCCTGGTTGATGAGAACAGCTTACACTTGACCACTCTGAGCTGCCATGAGTCAGAATTGAGTTGGTAACAGCTGGGAACAAACTAAAGCACTGGTAGCTTGAACCAGGCAGTATCTTGGGGAAAATGTGATCTGCTTCCATAAAGATAACAGCCAACAAAATCCTTGGGCCCTTAGGGCTGTCCGGTAACACATGAGTTAGGGTCAACTTTGTAACAATGGGTTAATTAACCTCAAGGAAGTGATTAGTTTGTTAGCACCTTTTAAATTTATTTACTTGGAAGTAAGAGTGAAGGAGGTTTCTATTTGTCTGGCCTTTTAGTCTGGGGTGGGGGGGATTTACACTTTTGCACCTAAAGTCATGATGCGTCACCAGTTGCTTGTGCCCTGAGTTTTACTTTCTTCTTCTGCAGGATGTTTCACGCAGGTCGAATGTGGAGCTACTGGAAATGGAAGCCGGGTCCTCTTCTCTTCATACTTTCTGTAAGCGTCGTATGTGCACCTCGTTCAGGTAAGACAGACTCATCCAGACCCTACGTTTGGTAATGATGCAGCGCCTTCAGTGTCAGGGTGCTGCTGTGTAAGATACCTTCACTTCTTGGTGATCTGACTCTACTTCTGCGCTTACCAGTGTTTTCTGTCTGGTTACCTCCCAGTGGTGTCTGAGTGTTTTTGTCAGTATTACTATGATCACTGGTTTAACTTCCAGTGAATATATTTCTTTAAACATCATTTTGTTACTTGGCTAGATCAGTTGGTAGAGAATGAGACTCTTAAACATTATTCCATTCTTTTTATAGTATGTATTGATCTAGCTAGTATTGATTGATATGATAACATGGACTAGTGCTGGCTATTTCTTCTGGTGAGTTATCTTTTCATTAAGTTTAGATGATATAGTTATTTACAAATGATTACAGATTTATGAAGTTACATACAAAATCTCCACTGGAGAAAGACGGGCAGTCTAATAGCCTCAGAAACACTGGAAGGTCAGCTGTGAATTGGTTCCCACTTGATGACAATGAGATTATTTTTTAAATTGCCTTTGTTTTTTAAGTTCATCTTTATTTTATTAGCTTATTACAATATAGTACAGTAACATAAAACTAAGCTTTTAGACTGTACAGTTACAAGTGGCCTCCACTTCCTAAACAGCATGCCTCTGGAAACTCTGAACTTGGAGAAACGACGGTAGTTATAGAAAGGCCTCAGGTCTTTTGTTCATAGGGTTGCTATAAGTCATACATGACTTGATAGCAATCAACAACAACTTAAAAATACCATGTTTTTATGGAATCAAGATACCTAATTCTTATAATTACATTTTTTTCTGAGTTTTTGAAAGAAGAGCCTTTTAGATGTTTTTAAAACTAAACATTCTATAAATTGGCAATTATATGAATAGACCAGTTAATACCTAAGAAATGTAAATATTTAGTTTTGAAAGAGAGGAGCAAACTGGGGGGGTGGGGTGAGAGGGCTGGGCGGGTAGAGAAGTGCAGCAATGAATGAATGGAAATCCAAATTCTCTGTAAATGTTCATTAAAATTATTAAAAAAATTATAGCAAAAAAAGAAATGTAAATAATATTTAAAAGTAAATTATTTTTCACTGCTTGGTTTTGTTGCACATAAACCATCATTTCTCTTAAGTCTGTTCTGTTTTACTATTGAATTGATTTACTTTATTGTTGGGGTTTTTTTGTTAGAATAAAAATAAAATGTCAATTAAGAAAATAACTGACCATGTTGCTATGTGTTTTTTATGTGGGATTTAATCAAGATGTTTTATATTCCTCATTTGTAATATTACTATATTCTTGTAATTTCTGCTTTGAAATAAGAATCTAAATACATTTTCTGCTAAGATGGCATTTTGTTGGTTAACACATTGTTGGTATTTAATTTGTCAGTACTTTTTTTTTCCTTCTCAAGTCACTAAGTATTTGAAGAGTTTTCAGATGCTTAGGAAAATCCTTGGCTCTTTATTTAGTGGTTTCAAACAAAACTGATCTTTGAGGGAATTTTTGGTGCCTTTGTTTCAATTTCAGTAGAAAGTTCTGATACTGAGTCATTGCTTAAAGTGAAAATCAACTTGTAAAGAGACTGGGAAAGAAAGAAACATGGGCTCTGCATACAGTTAGGATTACCAGATAAGCAAAGTGAACTCCGGTTTATTACTGCTTGTTTACCGACTAATCTGTAGCGAAAAATTTCACAATTTTTTTTTTTTTAAATTTCACAATTTTTAACACCCTCAAAGAGTCTACTTCTATTTTTGGCCAGCATCGGTCTCTGTCCCCATCCCACAGTATCATCCTGCAGGATCAAAGCATCTTTTGAAAATTTCCAGTCTCTACCAGGAAAGCCCATGTAGCATAATCCATAGCAAGTTGCACTGGTAACCCTAAATCTGCATGTCTCTAGCAGTTCACATCCTTCAGCCGTTCCTCAGGAGAAATATGGGCAGTCTATATGGGCAGGATCTAGCCTCAGAAAGCCCATGGAAGGATGCTAGGAGTCTCAGTGAGTTGGAGTTTGGGCTTAACAGGAACTTCCTAAGCAGTTGTGTTTATTATAGATAAGGCATTAGCTCCAGGTATGTTCACGCTTACCTTCTTTACTGGGGGATCCATCTCGGCGTTCATCTACAGACGCTGGAAACACTCTGATTGGGTTCTTCCAAAGAGCGTGACTGCTTACAGGGGGTTGAACTACCCAGTGACTTCGTGGTAAAAAGACTCAGTGGTGAACTTCTGTCAAATTGCACCCAAGAAAACCCTATGGGACAGTTCTACTCCATACATGACATCGACACCATAGCGCCCAACAATGGCAACAACCTAGGGATTAGGAACTGCTACTCTTTCTCCTTCGGAGCAACTGTTGGATTCAAGCTGCTGATTTTAATTAGCAACGCAACTGTAACGTAATAAGAAGATTCATCAGGAAAAGGCTAGTAAGAAAGAATCAGATTATCAATATCACTAAACTGTGCATATAGATATTATTGAAATGGTATCTTTTGTTGTGTATATATAACCAATAAATTACATGTATATACACACACATATATACTAGATCACTAATAATTTGGGGAAACTCAAAAGCAAAAATACCAAAACCAAATTCAAAGCAAATTCTAAAACTGTGTAATCACTTTTAGAATAAGTTGTACAGTGAGGCTGGAGTATAGTATTTTTATATATGTTTGTATAAGACTGGTTATGTGTATTATTAAAATATGGAGTCATATAGGCTCTGATAATGAACTGCATAAGAGGCATGGGTTTGGAGACAGAAGAAGATGATGGAACTTTATATACCTCAGAATTATTTACCTTGTTACCATAAGCATGTATTACTATAGTATTTTGAGTGGAAAATAACATTTAAAAAAAAAAGCAACAACAAAACTCCCCACACACATTTAAGAAAGGGTCTATGAAGCAAAAGAAGTGTGTGGATATTATACTTTTCTATTAGTTACTTCACTCTGCATCTTTTTCTGTTTGATAATAATCTCTAAAAGGTGTTTGGAATAACGTTTTCTCCGCGTGTGTCATGCCACTTCAGGACGCCGGAGATGAATAATGATACCTCAAGCAGAGAGAGGGTTATGGCTTCAAGAAGAGTGGGAAACAGGCTAGTGAGAGCCAGTGAATTCCTAGGCAACCAGCAGCCTGTTTCCACACAGATAGTCTTAGTTATGAGCACTGAGGGAGGAGGCCCCCTTGTCTGCTGAAAATCAATGATATCAGCAGATTATTTCAAAGCCCAGTGTTTTCTGATATATATGATAAATCATCAACAGCTATCAAAGGGGAAATGTTTCTGAGAATACAGTCTGGCCTGTGCTGAGTACTTTGTGAGCCCAGAGCACAGCAGAGTTCTCAATGGCAAATGAATGAGCAGAATAGTTTTTGTGATTTTTGTTCTTTGCTAATTTTTATCATAGTCAGGTTGATGTTAGGTGCTCTCTAAATCAACCATAAATATGGTACAGTGTAATCAGCCTCAAGTATGTTACAGAATATTCTTGACTTGTACGTCTATGTGGATACAGTTCTCGGGGTCTTATTTTTCCTCAGAGCCTTGGGGTGAGGGAACCATTGCAAATTGTGTACTGAGCAGTTACTGTCTGGTGTCAGTTATGCTACCATATACATATATGTGTTAAATAGACATTCGTAGCATGTATTTTTTATAATTGAACAGAAGTCTTTCAAATGCATGGAAAAAGAATTGTTTTAGAAAGATTTTAGATCTTTTAATACAATGTTTTATATCAGTACATTTCCAGAAAAAAGAGAAAAATGAGGTTCTGTTGTATAAAGTTATTTTACATGTAATGTTGTGTTCTATATTTTTTCAATCAAGTTTAAGGTGTTTCCGATTACTGACCACAGATTGCAGTGAAAGGGCTGTCTTTCCATTTAGATTTCAGATTAGACAGGCTTACACAACAATTGAACAGACAACAAGTGGGAAATTGTAAGGTTTCTTTGGAGTGTCTTTTCAGTTTTCTTAATAGACCTTTGCATGATATGAAATAAAATCCATCCCATTTTTCTAAGAGTCAGCCACAGCCTATTGTGTCCACACAGTCAAACGCCTTTTCATAGTCAATGAAACACAGACATTCCTCTGGTACTCTCTGCTCTTAGCCAAGATACATTGAGAAAAATGGAATCCCAGAGCATTTAATTGTGCTCATGTAAAATCTATACCTAGATCAGGAGAATATTGTGCGAACAGAGCAAGGGAACATTATTGTTGTAGTTAGGTGCTGTAGAGTTGCCTGCAACTCATAGCAACCTTATGGTTTAAAATTAAGAAGGGGACACATCAGGGTTGTATGCTCTCTCTATACCTAATCAGTCTGTATGCTGAGCATATTATCAAGAACCTGGACTCTATGAAAAGGAATTAAGTTTCATTTTAATTCCAAGTATCTTCTTTCCCGTATATTTCTAGGTCTTAAATTCTAGGGAAACACAATCATAATTGAATATCTGTTACAAGACGTCAACCTTTACTTCTCTGATCTAACAAATACCTATTTAAATTGAAAAAAAATAAGAAGAAAAAAAGGAATGTGGCATCAGGGTCAGAGGGAGACTGCATTATGTATATGACACAACTTTCCTTATTGAAAGGAGGGAGGACTTGAAGCACTTGTGGCAATAGATCAAAAAAATATGGCCTTCAATATCAAGAAAACAAAGATTCTTACCATTGGATAGATAGGCATAATTGTGATAGATGGAGAAAAGATTGAAACTGTCAACAACTTCATCTTACTTGGATCCACAGTTAACACTCTTGGTACAGTAGTCAGGAAATCAGGAGATAACATTGCACTGGGAAGGTCTGCAGTTAGTGACTTCTTCAAATTATGAAAGATAATGATGTCACTTTGAGGACTATGATGCATCTAATTCAGGCCATGCTCTTTCTGATCACTTGCTAGGCATCTGAGAGCTTGACAATAAATAAAGATGAAGAA